ACATAAGTAACGAAACTTCTCTTTAAATTAATGTGATCATTCACTTATTTTACTAAATGCAAATATTGTGGGATTATAAATGAAAATTGCTTAAACTTGTACCAAGCACCAAAACAAATTTTCAGTTGTTTTGCTACTCGACGCTAGATGGCGCTACTTCACAATTGTGTTATAATTTGACCCCTACACTGAAAATACATTGAACTAACGTGTCGTATACTGTTGAATTTATTTTAGGTATGCTTAGTAAATAAAAAATAGTGTTTTCTTTGTATACATTTTTTTCAACATGTATTATGTGCTTTAAAAGTGTTTGCAGTTACGGATTTGCAATTACGGCTTTGAATTGTAACGAATTTGCCTTTTCCAAGATTCATCAATAGGTCTTTTTTTAATGAATTACCAATTTCTTCTTCTTCTAGACGCCCATTAATAAAGAAATCGTACTTCATTAAAAACTTAGCAAATATCAGGAATTATTTAAGAACTTAAATTTTCAGTACAAATCCAAATAATACATAAATATTATGTAAGTATGTATTTTTTTTGTTTGTCCTCTATGCGTTTCTAAACCATTCATCCGATTGTGATGCAACTTGGTATCGTTATTTTTGGTACTTCGGGGAAGTTTTTCTCACAGCATTACCAACGCACGATAGGGGGCGCACGTATAGCTTCAACGGATGAGTTTATTCCATCCATTGAGCGAGCGATATTCGAACGACACTATAAGTTGTCGTTACAAAAAAAACTGGACGCATTTTAAATTTCTTTAGACTTTAACCTTTCTAACCTAACCTTTCTAATGACAGCGGTTTGGCCTTGGCATTACTGACGTCCATGGGCTACGGTAATCACTCACCAACAGGTGGGCTGTATGACCATCTGTCTACAAGGGCAAAAAAAAAAAATAGAACACCATTTGAATTATCATATCAACGATGTATCATTATTATACTCTTTCAAGTTGCGAATGACACCAATTCATTGCTGGTAGTAGGTAGTAAGTTTGTTATAAAATTTAATCATTTTAATACATCTTTCAACAAATAGACATTTCATTGTTTAACCACCACTACTTCGGCAAAATTGAACTAAAATTTAACTATTAAAAAGAGTAATCGTTTGTTTTTTAACTCTATTTTTAGTTAATATTACAAATACAAAATTTAAAATAATTAAAATATACTTTCAGATATTCTTAGCGAGTTAACACCGTCGCTCACGTTAAATTAACTATTATTATCGGAATACTTTTTAATGCTACTTATATTGGTCTAATTAACACACCCTAATAACAGATTCTGCATTATTCGCTCTGTACTGACAGATTACTTATTATCTATATATTAATACGTGAAGCAAAAACTTTGTATCCCTTTTTACGAAAATTGCGCGGGCGGAGGGGTATGAAATTTTCCACACTTATAGAGAATATAGAGAAGAAGTGCACAATGTTAATATTTTTTGTAAATAATGCATAAAAGATACATTAAGTTAATAAAGAAAACATTTACACACACTACATATCATGTATTTGACACACACACGCATGCATACTATTTATTGTCAAACTTTTGTTCTTGGCGTCTGTGGTCAAACTGAGAATAGATTAAATATTGTTTGTCTTTGTTAATATTTTTTATAGTGTAGTCTTGGCGTAATTTGTGATTATAGAAGTATAAAATACAATCATAATAGTGTACAAACTTACAATTCCAATTAATTATAGTCGAATTTCGACAACTGCGGGACCTCTAGTATTATCTTATCACGCGATTGACGGCATACTCCTAGTTTTAGGATGTTAGAGGCAGATCAATCTATTCCATCTCATTCAGGTCAGTTTTTGGGTATTACAGTATCGACAGGTTTTTTCGAAACACTTTGAGAACGCATTGAATTTTATTAAACTAAATATTAGTTTCAACTTGAATATTCTGATAGATCCATTTAAATGTTTTTTTATTGCTCTTTTAGTCAGACGAGCATACAGCATTTTGTTAAACTTAAGACTTAGCTTCAACTGACTTGAATATTCTGATAGATGAGGTTAAAAATTTTTTTTATTGCCCTCGTATTAAGACGAGCATACGGCCCACCTGATGGTGAGTGGTTACCGTCGCTCATGGACGTCAGCAATACCAGGGGCAGAGCCAAGCCCCTGCCTAACGTAAAGTACTCTGCACAAGCCCCGTTTGAAGAAGGGCATGTCATAGCGCTCGGAAAATGCCGTAGAGGAGAGCTCATTCCAAAGTCGGGTGGTACGTGCCAAAAATAATCTCTGGAAGCGCACTGTGGATGAACGCAGTGGTTCTCGGTAGTAGGAATGAACTACACAGGTGGCGGGTAGTACAATTGCTCTTAAAAGTTTTATATCGGTTGTAACGACTGTTTGGTTATAGCGACGTCAAACTTACGTCCCTTGAATTTAAAACATATGTACTTTCGTAAGAAATTCATTCGGTAATAGCGAGTTTGGATATAGCGCCAATTTCGGGTATAGCGACTTGTGTTTATGAACTATTCATGACAGATTCCCAGAAATCCCTTACGGATATTGCTATTGAGTCGGCAAAGGTACAAAGACTCATTCATAAAACTATTAAGCTTTCTTATCCTTTGTTTACATTCACAGATGGTCAAACAAATTGTTTTGTTTGTATGTTCCTATATACAAACAAAGCATTTGCTTGACCATCTGTGCTAAGTAGTCCTCTACTCAGCACGGAAAACTTATGTGAATATTGACGATCAAGCTATCATAATCGTCAATATTCACATAAGTTTCCCGTCCCGGAAAAATCTTAGGTAGCTTGCAGCCTCTCGGCCACTACTATATAAAGAGACCGGTAGAAAGTAAGTGGTCGTGGCCTAAAGGATAAGATAAACGTACTACAATTAAGGAGACGGAAGTAAGATAGCCTGTATAAACATGTATATTTCGAAGTATACATGTCAATACAGGCCTTTAAAGTCGTCGTGGCCTAAAGGATAAGACGTCCGGTGCATTCGTATCGAGCGATTCAACGGTGTTCTAATCCCGCAGGCGGGTAACAATTTTTCTAATGAAATACGTAGGTAACAAATGTTCTCGATTGACTTCCATAGTGAAGTAATAAGATCGTGTAATAAAAATCAAAACCGAAAAATTATAATTTGTGTAATTACTGGTGGTAGGACCTCTTGTGAGTCCGCACGGGTAGGTATTACCACCCTGCCTATTTCTGCCGTGAAGCAGTAATGCATTTCGGTTTTAAGGGTGGGGCAGCCGTTGTAACTATACCTATACTGAGACCTTAGAACTCATATTTCAAGGTGGGCGCCGGCATTTACGTTGTAGATGTCTATGGGCTCCGGTAGCCACTTAACATCAGGTGGGCGGTGAGCTCGTCCGCCTATCTTGGCAATAAAAACTAAATAAAAAACCTTTCACAGTTTTTCGACAGGGAAGAGATCGCAACCTAAACCTGTTAATAAGTATAAAATAGTCCGTGCCAACCGTCGTATGAGCGGGTTTCGATTTGCCAGCCACCTACGAGGACACCGTAGAAGAATGTCAGGGTTGCAGGACAACATTAGTACTTCAATGGGAGTCATTGAAGGCTATATATAGTATCTTTATCACAGATCTTCTTCTTTTTTTCCTTTCTTTATTGCCCTTGTGGGCAGACGAGCATACGGCCCACCTGATGGTGAGTAGTTACCGTCATGGACTTCAGCAATGCCAGGGGCAGAGCCAAGCCGCTGCCTACCGTTAAATACTCTCCACAAGCCTCGTTTGAAGAAGTACGTGATATGAAGAAGGATCTAGTTATACTACACGGTCTACACGCTATTTAAAGTTTAACTGGTGGTAGGGTTCTGTGTAGAAGCCCGCCCGGGTTGGTACCACCGTCCTGTCTATTTCTGCCGCAAAACAGTAATACTGTGTTCCGGTCTGAAGGACAGGATAGCCGGTGTAACATACATAAGGCTGCCCATCCAGGTTAGGATAGGCAGCGCATCTGAGTCACTGATGTAGTTTGGATGTCTATGGGCGACGGTTATCATTTCCTATCAGATGAGCCGTAAGCTCGTCTGCCTATCGAAAGCAATAAAAAAAAAAAAAAAAGATCAGCTTATATAATCATTTAATGGTTTATACTAAATTGACAAGGTGGTTCGACCAAATCCGCACCACACTAGAGATCCCATTCCGCGACGCCCTTCATGCGGCTAATGATCGGAGTCGCTGGCGGGACATCACAAGGAGCAAAGTCCTGTCGACATATAATCGACCGTCAATCGATAAACGGCCGTCTGGTGTAGTGGTAAGTGACATGGTCACTACACAAGGGGGTCGCGGGTTCGAATCCCGCCAAGGGAAGATATTTGTATGATAAATATAAATGTCTTTTCCAGGGTTATGGATGTATATTAAATATACATTTACTTCCGTTATCTGGTACTTGTAACACAAGTTCTTTACGAACTTAGCACGGGACCAGTTAACGTGGCGTGATTGTTTAAAAAAAAAAAAATTGGTCACGACCCTCAGCAGTGAGGAAACGACGCGAGGAGGAGGATCTAAATTGAAGTAGAAATGCAATGAGAAAAAAACGTAACTATGCTCGTTTTTTTTTTTTAAATAAACTTGTATGTAAATAATGTTATTCTTTTCTTATCGTTCTTTAAATAATTAATTTGGGTTTACATATTTAAAAATTCGTGCAATAAAAATTGAACCTCAATAATTTCAATTTGCGTTTATTATAATGCAGATGTAGACCACAAGTCTCAGGGTGGGCGCCGATATTCACGTTGTCCATGGGCTCATGGGTGGCTACAAAAACTCCGCTTTCAGTAATGTGCAAATAAATTTCTAGACTGCAATTTTAAAACTGCATATTATTTATCATAAATCTAGCCGGTGTCATTGTTTCCTATGGAATATGACACTCATTATGGCAACTAATCTATAGGTGAAATAAAACAATTCAATCGATTAACAAATCACGGATATTTATTGAAATAAAAATAATAAAAATGAAAAATAATAAAAACAGTTCCATCTTTCACATAGTTACACAATAAAATTTGTCTTATTTTTTTTTTTTTACTTCAAATGTTTTGTCAATTTTTTCGTCCGTTTGTCGCTAATTATCATGACAATACTTTAAATGAAAAAAACAAATGAATATATATTAATATTGCAAACGTGCATATTGCGAAAAAAATTATTCATAATTTTATTACTTGCGTCACGATTCTCTGACCTAAGTCAGTGGTTAGATGTGTAGTTTATTTGAAAATAATAATTAAAAAGATTTATTTCTTTTTTTTCTTCATATTTTTAACAAGCAGTTTCGTCTTCAGTTCTGTGTCCTGAACCATCTGCATGTCAAAAATATTCACTGTGAACATTTAAGCTAAATAGAATCAAGGACTAATTCAAACGACATACCAGAGAATTATATTATGTCTTTTATTTTTTATATCGTCCGAAGAAGTCCTTAATTACAACGAACCGACAATGGACGACAAAACATTCGCATAATTTACTTATACAATTATCTAATATAAATTCTATCTTTTTTTATTTATTTTACATTAAGTACGTATACTGATAGGTTCACGATTGGACTAAATGGTGCTTCCGAAGTCTTATTCCACGCAGACCGCAGGGGAACATCAATCGAAAAACAAAACTGGAATTATTTCACATCAGTCTTAAGAAAGAAAAAAAAAACTAGGGTAAAATAAAAATAAACGCGAAACGACGTCATACGATTCACTCACTGGTTCTTAAATATGTTTTTTATTACTAATTTAAACACAGACATTACGAATAACATAACCTTTAAATCGATTCCAATTTTGCTTTTTACATCGCGTAAATATCGATTTCAGGAAACTTACCGTATTCATTCGTTTTCGGTTTATGTATGAGAATCATGTTCATGAACATCATTAGGTAGGTACTCCATTTACACATTCACTTAAAATCATATATTTACACAAATATTCGTCTAAGATAGGAAACATTTTTCTTATTTTTTATTATACACGATAAAATCCCTAAAAATTACGAAACAACTTAACCGAGAAACACGTACTACATCGAACTATGAAGATCCTATGAATACTGGAAAATTTTATTAATTTAATTGACACTATACAACTAAACAATTAGATCGACATAAATCAACATAGCTAACTTTGGCATTGGTTTCCGCATTTTCTTTTGTCTATAAATAAAACATGTCAAAACAAGATCGAATGAATGCACGTAACATAAAAAAAAAGTCCGAAGTACCTTACAGCCTCCGAAAAATAAACAATGATCCACCTAAAATCAACATTAACAATGATTTAACGGGTAATTTCAACACTTGTTCCGTTCGTGGGATAGGTACAATAACTAAATAATGCCTTTCGATACGAAATTTTGCGCTCGTATTGCAAATTTTAATGTCCTTATAATTCAACTCTTAAGACTAGACACAGAATGTTAGGACCTGAGACCGCTCGTGCCAAACAGCTAATAAATTAAAATAGGAAGCGACGAATGGTGAGGTTTGTTTATGATCTTAGAAGATCTGGCTGGGAGGCGCAGGCGGCGGCAGGCGTAGCCCACCCCACGGGTAGAGTCACGAGGCCTCGTCTCTACATGCGTTAGAATCATCAGACAAGGCCAAAGGAGCGCCGTTGCTTTGGTTCACAACACACTTGCGCATATGCTTCTCTAAAGTCGAGGGCACAGAGAAAGGCATCTCGCAAAATCTGCATCGATACACGTCTTTGCCGAGTCGGCCGTGAGTTTTCATGTGCCTAGTGAGCTTTGAGCTCTGAGCGCACGCATAGGAACATAGCTCACATTTGTAAGGTTTTTCGCCGGTGTGAGATCTACGATGAACCGTCAAATTTGAGCAATTCTTGAATACTTTTCCACAAAATTCGCAGGTATCATTCCGTCGTCCGTCTTTAGATTTTAATAAAGGGTTCTGGAGCAGGCCGTTACCGCTATTTTTAAGGCCTTCAAATATATTTTCAGGAGGTCTCTGGGCATGCAATGTGGGAAGCCACCATCCTTCACTTCTCTCCATATCCAGTTTCATTCGCTTAGAAGCTTCGAAAGGATTTTCAAAAGGGTTAAAAAGAGGATGGGGCTGTGGCGGCATTTTGGCAAATTCTTCTTTTAATCGTAGAGCTGCTGTCGGTGGCATACCATTTGGTTTGTCACTAGGAGGGCCATTATTATTATCCCGATCTTTCGCAAGCTGCCATTTCAGTGAGTTTCCAGATTCTTGGAGTGCTTGTTTGAAAGCTTCGCTATATTGAGCAATATTTGATAGTCCAAATTTATCCATTAATTCTCCAACAACAGAAGCCGTTGGGGGATGTGCGGGTATCGCTGNAGCTGCTGTCGGTGGCATACCATTTGGTTTGTCACTAGGAGGGCCATTATTATTATCCCGATCTTTCGCAAGCTGCCATTTCAGTGAGTTTCCAGATTCTTGGAGTGCTTGTTTGAAAGCTTCGCTATATTGAGCAATATTTGATAGTCCAAATTTATCCATTAATTCTCCAACAACAGAAGCCGTTGGGGGATGTGCGGGTATCGCTGGAGTCTGCTTCCTCGAGGGTGCAGTAGGAGCACTACTATTGGAAACAGTTAGGTCTTCTGCTTCCTCTACATCTTCTCCATCTTCATTTTCTTCTTCGTCTTCACCTTCGAGCTCCTCATCCTCCATGTCATCATCAGAATCATCTTCTCCAGTGTCGCCACCAGATTCTCCATCTTCACCATTTACATCTGGTAATCGATGTACTTTCATGTGTTTCTTTAATTTAGATGCTTTTTCAAAAGTTTCATCACATTCGCTGCATTTGAAGGGCTTTTCCCCAGTATGAGAGCGTCGATGTACAATTAAATTGTTTTCGAATCTAAATTTCTTGCCACAAAACTCACAGGAATGTATAGCCTCATCGTTGTTGCGTTTCACTGGCGGAGTAGACGTGGAGCGCTCGGGAGGGGGAGCATCGGCTGCCATTGGCTCTATTCGGCGTTCTGGTGAAGTTGAGCTATGTGGTTTGATCGCTTCACGAGGGGTATCCACCGTTCCGGGTCCGGCGCCCACCGGTGGAGTCTGACCGACTCGGGAGGGCGACGGGGAAGCGAACGGAGGCGAATGCTTCCTGGGGCTAGGAGAGCTCGAATTGCCTGTGGCCGCCCCTGGACTGGTCGTACCGGCCAGTTGCCGCAAGCGCTGCGAGTAAAAATCCAGCTGGGGTTCAAGTGAAAGTGGTTGAGATACTGGTGGTGGTCTGTCTCGAGCTGATACTGTTGTTGGTATTACAGGTGGTCGATCCGCCGGTGACGGAAACGCCTGGTGTGGTGGAAGGGAGTTAGCAGCTACAGCGGCCGCTGCAGCTGCAAGGTTCAGTCCGTGGTGACGAAATTGTTCCGAAACGAGTTGTTCCATTCTAAAGCGATGGTCATGGTGATTCGGTCGAGCAAATAATGGAGCTGGAGGAACAGACGGGTGGGCTAATGGAGGTAGACTACCAGGTAGCGGCATTCGCAAAAGACCACCAACTCCAAAAGGGGAATGCATGTCTGGAGGTGGCAGTAGAGGATGATGACGCAATGTGGGCGGAGGAAGAGGTGCACCCGTAGAAGAGCAACCAGAACTTGAGGAAGAGGTGCTTGAAGATGAATGGTTCTGTTTGTTGAGGTGCGGTTGGGGCAACGTTTCCACGTAAATTTTAACGCCGTGCACGTGTTGGACGTGTTGAAGTAATCTCCACGCGGAGTGCACACGAGCCTTGCAAGTTGAACAAACGTAGTTACTCGGCTCTGTGGACAAAGAGAAAGCTCTGTTAAAACATGTAAAAGCCAAATTGATGAGAACGCTTTCCGATGGAAGATTTACAGCAATATTAACACTGGCAAAGTGTCTAGTAATAGCTCTCACATATCGTAGTGCTGGGCCTAGGGAGCGCGCGAGGATCGAATGCTAATCAGGCGAAGGTCCGAGGGTTCGGTGCGGCGGCGGTGAGTGATCGCCGTTCCGTGTCTCGCGTGATTCATGCACCTCTAAAATCTTATGAAATATACGCGGGCCGGAATCACGTACGCACGCGCGGTTTGAGACTGTTGATATTGAAATCTACGTAACGCNCACATATCGTAGTGCTGGGCCTAGGGAGCGCGCGAGGATCGAATGCTAATCAGGCGAAGGTCCGAGGGTTCGGTGCGGCGGCGGTGAGTGATCGCCGTTCCGTGTCTCGCGTGATTCATGCACCTCTAAAATCTTATGAAATATACGCGGGCCGGAATCACGTACGCACGCGCGGTTTGAGACTGTTGATATTGAAATCTACGTAACGCTATCCGGATTCAGAGAGAGAAAAAAAAAGAAAGAATATTTATCTAACGGATTCCGCGAAGCTGTTAGATAATAGTTAGCGAAGGATGTAATGTGTGCGTAATGCGTTTCATGAATTCTTATATGTGGTGGGATCTCATAAGTGATGAATGTATCCTGAACGTTTTCGTGATAAGGTCACGTGGTCAAGCCGCGCCCAGTTCGACAGTAATTTGATGGCTCATTGTGTGAACCCGAGACGCATTTTATTAACCATACGGTCGTGTCTCAACTCTTTTAGTGATGTGAACGAAAACTAACATAATCGAACGGTGAGATTGTGAACTATTCAATCTGAAAACTAAATCGTTTCGTTCAATGCACATTTATAATACTATAAGACGCTACTATTAATCAGTGTTAATTATCTTAGGCCACGAATGTCAGCCACGCAATAACACCCGTAACATTGGCAAGATCTTTTTAAGGCACATGTGTGTGGTTCTAATCCAACATGATTAATATCGATTAGACGCCCACTAGTGAATCTTTATCGATTATTATTCGACAGTCCCGTCACTAAGGTGGGCGCGGTCCGATAAGCGATCTCGACTGTTAAGACGATTATTGAAATGTAACGGTCAGATTGTGACCGACCGGAAAGAAGGAACATACAGGTTGATGCTCATTACAAACTTTAAAGCTTCCAAATTATTATATATTATATATCGCTGAATGTTTAATTAACAAAAAAAAAAAATTGTCTTTAAGCTGATTACTAGTGGTAGGACGTGTTGTGAGTCCGCACGGGTAAGTACCACCACCCTGCCTATTTCTGCTGTGAAGCAGTAATGCGTTTCGATTTGAAGGGTGGGGCAGCCGTTGCCTATTGCTTAGATGGATGGTAGACCTCACAGCCCACCTGGTGTAAAGTGGTTACTGGAGCCCATAGACATCTACAACGTAAGTGTGCTACCCACCTTAAGATATAAGTTCTAAGGTCTCAAGTATAGTTACAACGGCTGCCCCACACTTCAAACCGAAACGCATTACTGCTTCACGGTAGAAATAGGCAGGGCGGTGGTACCTGCCCGCGCGGACTCACAAGAGGTCTCACCCCCAGTAAATGATTATTAAGGAAGTAGTGGATACGTTGTATAAAATAACATCACCCTGTATATACGTGTCATTTATCACGATATCAATATTGTGACCTTTTTGTCCGAGCATTGTTCATTGTATTGGAGTTTTGGTCATCGTTTTCAATGTACCATCGTAAACAAAAATTTAAAAATGATTTTTATACTTCTCTGTGTACTTTAGACGAACTGTGTGAACAATTATTATTTGTTTAACTGTACACGTTTGCATGCTATGTAAATTATATTAAGAATTTAGTTTTATTTCAGTGCCAATTTTAAGTTTATTTTAATTTTTTCCATTCTATCATTATAATTTTCTAGAAACACATATATAATATTATAGATTTTTTTTTAATAAAATATCTTTACTGTTTTGAGGCATTTTAGTATTTTTGGCTTTTTGATGAAGACCAAAAATTTTTTCGTTTTTCTATTTAATTTTTCCTAAAATTTATTTCAAGCGAGGCTTGTTGAGAGTACTTAACGGTAGCCAGCGGCATGGCTCTGCCCCTGGCATTGCTGAAGTCTATGGGCGACGGTAACAACTCGCCATTAGGTGGGCCGTATGGCTCGTCAGCCTACAAGGGGAATTAAAAAAAAAGACCATTGGTGTGCTCTACTACTTTTCTTATTTACACACCCTGCCATTGAAAATATTATTCTAGTAACAGTTTTTATAGATGTCTTTGAAAAAAGAGAGAAGAAAAGATCAAATTATGAGTATAATTAAAACAAATATAGCTAAGGCTAATTTATAATCATTGATTTAATTACCAAAAAAAGAAACTCGTTTTTCTGCTTATCGTACTCGAATGTAGCTTAATACAAGTAGGGTCAGCAACAAAGCATGTCGTACCAGCAACGATTGATACCGACTTACGCAGATTAGAGAGCGTGTAATTTCTATCGTTTATATTATAGATAAGATCGGGTTTTTGGACTACGTGTGGCATTAAAGATTATTATATTATGTACACGTGTGGTCAACGACCTTAAACAGAAAAATGTTTTGTTTACTTTTTTAAATTGGTGATTCGAAAATCCATATAATATTGAACTATTGTGGAAACAAACTTCTTTCTTTTAATCAAATTTGTTAATAAAAAATAACACGATGTATATTTTATATCTGCTAACAACGTAACCAAACTCGTGTAACAATTTTACATCATTATTCTTGCATCTAATAAAATTTTGTTACACTGAAATCGATTATGTAGTTATAAAACTATACTGAGACCTTACAACTTATATCTCAAGGTGGGTGGCGCATTTACGATGTAGATGTCTATGGGCTCCAGTAACCACTTAACACCAGGTGGGCTGTGAGCTCGTCCAGCCATCTAAGCAATAAAAAATAAAAAACTTTTCAATTATTAATGCTATTGGCTTTTTTAGTATTTACGAGTTTATGAGTAATTGCTTTTGGTGGGCAATTAAGTATACTGTATTCAATTTGTTTTGTCAAAAAGTCACGAAATTGCTACGGAACTAAACTTTGTTTTTAAAATGTAGATATATAGTAGCACATTCGACGTGGCCCTTGGAAAAGTGTTAAGGTCGTTTTATTAAGGCTTTTACGAAATTATTTAATTTCGTGTTTATTACGTTAATTTTACAATTTACGACGTTTTGAGTTCGGATAAATTATCACAAAAATTTATTTTACCGAAAGTTTAAAATTATTTTTTTACTCATTTCAATTCCACGACAGCCAATTGTAGATGTTAAAAGTAATTTTATTTTCGAAGGGTCCGATTTTTTTGTTCGCCAGTTCACGGTCTACGTTATATCAGCAGTTAGTTACATAAGCACAGGACGTCTTAAATATCGCCGTAGTATGTTTATTAAGCCGTATGCTTAATCACAAAATGAACAATCGTAGAGTTTTAGATTATAGAGATCTACCTACGCAACTAAATGCAAAATATATTGTAATAGAGAAAATCTTTTTTTTTTTTTTGCTTAGATGGGTGGACGAGCTCACAGCCCACCTGGTGTTAAAAGGTTACTGGAGCCCATAGACATCCACAACGTAACAAGTAACAACATAACATGCGCAATGACTCACAAGAGGTCCTACCACCAGAAAGATGGATTTTACTGGTGGTAGGACCTCTTGCGAGTCCGCGCGAGTAGGTATAACAATGCGTTTCGGTTAGAAGGCTGGGGCAGCCGTTGTAACTATACTTGAGACCTTAGAACTTATATCTCAAGGTGGGTGGCGCACTTACGTTGTAGATTTCTATGGGCTCCAGTAACCACTTTACACCAGGTGGGCTGTGAGCTCATCCAACCACCTAAGCAATAAAAAATAAAAAAAAGTTTAATGTTAATACGAGATATACGATGATTTAAAAATCTATTTGAATTTCGAAAAACTATGTAATAAAACGCACACAATTAAAAAAGCGCAACGTCAATGTATGCATTAAGAACTTAGAGTGTTTGAATAAAACTCAACTACCTTCAGATATTCGATGTTCAGATTTACTTATGTATACATAGAGCTACCGCCCTAACTACCACTACCCACAATGAAACCGCCTAATATTTTTTATAACAACTTAAAAATAAATCTCCTCTTTGGGTCGATAATCCTCAATGCTGACGGTTGTGGCCTCCTCTAATAACTTTCTCCTGGATTATCCTGCACCACTCCTGCCTATCCTCGGCTGTGTGGATAGCAGCCTGGATTGAAGTGTTGAGAGTGAAACATATCTGATCCAACCAGCGTATTAGACTTCTGCCTCTTGGCCTTCCTCCGCATACCTTGTCTGTTACCAGCAGCTTCTCTAAATTGTTACCTCTCTTTCTGGAAATTTGTCTAAAGAAACTCCTCCGCGCGCTTATAGTACCTACTGGGGCGCATCGAAAAAATAAATAATCTATAAAAATATAAAAATGAATTGCTGTTCGTTAGTCTCGCTAAAACTCGAGAACAGCTGAACCGATTTGGCTGATTTTGGTCTTGAATTATTTGTGGAAGTCCAGAGAAGGTTTAAAAGGTAGATAACTATGAAAATGCTCGGAATTCAATAAAAATAACAATTTTGTTTTCCCTTTGACGTGTCCCCCGTCGGACGGATTCCTTTTGTTTGTTTTAAGTTTATTTTATACAAAAGCTTAGGTCTTTTATTTATCGATTGAGGCAGTACGAAGTTTGCTGGATCAGCTAGTATCTTATAAAATGAAAGACTCTTTAATTTGTCGTAAGAATTTCAAAAAAGACGTCGAACATTGTCCTACTGGTTCGATATCAAAGGGCGATCAGTAATTACGGAGCATTGTGGCCGAGGCAGTGGGGGTGAAATTTTTAAACACAGGAGGGTCTAGACGGGGAGACC